AGAGAGCAAGAGTGGGAGACGTTCCAGAGATACAAATTACAGGGAGTAAATCAAAGACGAAAAAAAAACCTGGGCAATTGGCCAAACCAGTCAGTATTGGGTTAGGCCTAATTCAAGCCATACCTGGGCCATTGCAACATGCATGCATGATCTGCATGTGTTATATGGTATGAGAGTGTATATGTATGATACATATTTATGTTGATCTGTCCATATACATATCTATACACTGGCATCAACATGTTTCAAGTCTATGAATGGTTCGGGATTTTTATGTTCGAATCGTATTATTCGCTTGAATACCTGTAGCATAAAGCCGTCTATGCCACAACAAAAACAACAAAACACTTTGGCTGATATGCATGAAGCAAATCCCAAATAAAATATATCTATTAAACTAAGCTCAAACTAATGGATATGCATGTTGTATTCAGAAGAGGGGCAGTATGATAAGGGAGGAAAAATGAAAATTGTTTAAATAATCTTGGGGTACGAAAAGTACGAAAGTGGTGCAGAGTTTCTGCTTTCTTTTTTTTCTCATTTTGTGTGTATGTGTGGGGGAGGGGGTGAATGAGATACGGCAGTATTTTCGTACTTAAGGGTACGAAATGGTACAAAATTGCGAAACATGCCTGTTTTTCGAAAATTTGTACTTTTATTATACCAAAGTACTAAACGGTACAATATGGCACAACATTTATATGGAACTACCAGTATAAGTTCAATTTCTTTTTTTTAAATTTCGAAAATTCTGGTAAAAAAATTTTGAGATATGCCGGAATTTTTAAAAATGTGTACTTTGAAAGTGAAAAGGTACTAAAAGGTACAATGTGATACAACTTTCATAAATAGCTACCGGTAAAAACGGGAATTTTTAAATTTAGCATGGCAATCACCATTTGTGTGGAAGGATGATCTACGACAGGATTTTCTGAATTTCGTACATTCGACACGAAAAGCACTAAATGATACAATATTGTTATTGTACCACTCATGGTCCATGAGAGTCTCTTACGGTCTGTGACGGTTATTCCAGGCACAGAAGATGGAAATATGACGGGTTCTTCTAAAATGTACACTTTGAATGTACCAAAGTACTAAAAGGTACAATGTGGTACAATAGTCATATAGAGCTACCTGTAGCAGCTGAAATTTTCTAATTTTCAATTACAATCATTGGCTTTGGTGGACGTCGAGATCCCGCTGGACTTTCGGGAGTTACGTACTTTGGGTACGAAACGTACTAAATGATACAACATTGTTATTTAACACTAAGTCATTGTCAGTTACTCCTGGCACACAAGAATGATATTTTCGTTTTTTTTAATATTTGTACTTTTAATGTACCAAAGTACTAAATGGTACAACCTGGTACAACATTGCTATTAAGATGCCAGCAAAAGCTGAAAATTTTAAATTTTGCATAGCATGATTGGAAGGATTAAGTACGACAGTTGTTCCTGAAATGCGTACTTTATGTACCCTGCAGGTACTAAAAGTCCAAAAATGGTACAACATTGTGATTGAGCAATCGATGACAAGCAATCACTATTTGTCTTTTGGGCGAAAAAACCGAGACTTTTGAAGTTTCGTATTTTAAGGGTACTAGAAGGTACCAAATTCGTACGAAAAGTACTAAAATGTACTAAACATTTGATATTTTGTATTGGAAAAATGGAATCAGCTAGAATTCTGAAACTTAGAATGAGAGTCACTAATAGAGTCCAGGATAGATGTACCAAAGAGTTTTCGGAAATTCGAACTTTAGGTACCATTTGGTGTTGTTGGTGTTGTGTGAACGAATTGAGCAAAAAACTTGAAATTTGGTATGAGAATCAAGGTTGGAAAGTAAGTTTGGGTTTCGTATTTGAATAGTACTAAACATACTAAAAGGTACTAAAATGTACGAAAAGACTAAAATGTACTAAAAATTTAATATTTTTTATTGGACAAATGGAATAAACTAGAATTCTGAAATTTGTAATGAGTGTCACTGATGGAGTGCAGGATAGATGTACCAAATGGTTTTTAGAAATTCGAATTTTTAGGTTATGAAAAGTTCGAAAATGGTACTAAACATCTAAAAAAGAGCCATTTGGTATTATGTAAACGGATAGAGCGAAAAACTTGTAATTTGGTATGAGAAACAAGGTTGGAAAGTAGGGTGGAGTTTCGTACTTTAAGGGTACTAAATTTACCAGACGGTACTTAAATGCACGAAAAGACTAAAATGTACTAAAAATGGAATATTTCGTATTGGACAAATGGAATGATCTAGAATTCTGATATTTGGAATGAGAGACACTGATGGAATGCAGGATAAACAAAGGTATTTAGAAATTCGAACTTTAAGATTTATAGTTCTGAAATGGTACTAAACTTCGAAAATGATATAATGAAATACTTTTTATTGGACAACTGAATCGAACTAGAATTCTAAAATTTGGAATGAGAGTCAATGATGGAGTGCAGGATAGATGTACAAAAGCATTTTTGAAAATTCGAATTTTAGGGTTACGAAGTATTCTAAATTTGTACTAAACTTCTAAAATGGCACCATATGGTATTATAGGAACGGATATATCGAAAAACTGGGAATTTGATATGAGAATCAAGGTTGGCAAGTAAGTTTGATATATGAAGGTGGTTTTGGAAATGTGTACTAAAAGTGCGATTTGTACTAAGTGGTACTAAATTTGGTAAAGTTTGGTTTAAAGGATAGGATGACATTTTGTATTGGGGTCCCTGTTGATGATAGGTTTGTGATAAAAACGTGGTTTTGGAAATGTTTACTACAAGTGCACGAAAAGTACTAAATAGTACTACATTTAGTACACTTTGGTATTTAATGAGCATATAGTACTTGAAATCTGAAATTTGGTATAAGTGGCCACTGTTTATGTGTAGACTCGGTCGGTATATAGAGGTGGTTTCGGAACTGTGTACTACAATTGTACAAAAAGTACTAAATGGTACTATATTTTGTGTTGCGTAAAGGAATAGAGATAAACTTCTGAAATTTGATATTTAGACTACTGATGGTATCTGTGTTTGATATTTAGCTTATTTCGAATTTTACAATCATTTTCGTTATTCAAAACTTTGACCCTTTGTGGGGGAGGTGCCAGAAGAAATGGTCAAATTTCTAAATTTAAAACAGATGTTGTGTTCATAGAAATATAGAGATTTGTAAAGCCTGAATAGAATCGGATGTTAATTCCGCATTTTATGAGTTCCACGGATATTTAAAATTTTGAACCTTTGTCAGGGAGGTACCTGAAGGATCGGACCGATACATACCATCTGTACACCAGATCTTGTTTCGGAAAAAATATTTGGAAGGGTGAAATTTAAAAGGATAGGATGCACACTTTGCATTTTATGATAGTTATAATTATTCAAAATTTTTGACCCGTTGTTGGAGAGGTACCAGATGGAGTGGGCCAACATCTATTATCTTTACACCAAATCTTGTTTTGGAAGAAATATTGAGATATGTCGATTTTGAAAAGATTTGAATGCTCATTTGACATTTTTTGAGCATCAGGGCTATGTATTGCCTTTGTGAGGGAGATACCAGAGGGAGTGGACCGATATATCCCATCTTCCCATTAATTCTTGTGTTACTAAAAACATTAGGATGTGTGAAATTTGAAGACACTTGGATTTTTATTTCACATGTTATAAGAGTTGTAATTATTCCAAATTTGGACCCTTTGTGGGTCGCACCTGACATAGCACTAATTAAAACATTCGGGCTTGCAAAGTTTGTACAAAATTGGATGATCATTTCATGTTCTATTCTGTGAAAATGTTGACTTTTTCTGTGGTACCAAAAGGAGTGGACCGATATCGCCCATCTCTGGACTCGATCTAAGTTTGGTAATAATATTATGATGTATCAAATTTCGATAAAATCGGATAATACCTTCGAGAGTTATCGTGTGCACCAACCAGCCAGACGGACGGGCGGACTCTAGATCGACTCCAATTGTCCTGAAACGGATTTGGTACAAAGAGACCTAGGGCCTAAAACCGCCATTTCAAATTTCTGAGGGATTTCTTCCTTGATTTTGAGAACTTAATGAATATCTCTTTCCGATTTGGAATATGGCCAAAATCCCAGCTTGAAATGGGCTTAGAGACATCCATAATCATAGCCCAAATTTTTGTATGAAATTTCAAAACATCTATCCGAAAAAAAAATATTTTTGTTCTAGATCCCCCTGTAGACCCCAATGATCCTAGCTTGAAATTGGCTGACAAATATTCTAAATTTTATTCTAAAATATCAAAATTTCCTCCCGGAAAAAAATACATTTTTGTTCTAGACCGGCCCAACAGACCCCAATGATCCTCCTGTTCCACCTCATAACCTCACTTTAACAACTCCCAATCTAAAATCCAAATTTAAATTGACATCATTAAGCCAAAGAAAAATCATGCAGTGTTAACTCAAGGACCGGGGCCCGGTGACAACGAATGCAAAGAGAGGAGTTTCCTGTGTGAGTGTGTGTGTAAATATGCCTCCATGTGTCTCTGTGTGTGTGTGAGGCATTATTTCCAAGTCTTTTGCAAGATCTAAACAATTTTGCACGATTACATGATGGAAATGGAGAAAAATTCAGTGGTTGTTGTTGTGTTTTTTGTTATTACAACTTCTTGGTTGTTGGCGGTGTTGTTGTTGTTGCTACTTTTTGGAGTCTTGTTTTGGAGCTTAAGAGCGAGTGAGCAATAATTATTATCAAAGATTGATACAACAAAAGATACAACAGCAAAAAAAAAAAACCAAGAGCTGGCTGAATGGCTAGATGGATGGATGGATGGCTGACTGGCTGATGGATATGCAGACTAAACCTGGTGATCTGATGATGATGACGATTGGAATGGCAGAGATGATGACGATGACGATGGTTGTGATGCAGACAAGATGCAATGCTGAAAACAAAGTTGCTGATGCTTGTTAGCTTGGTTAGTATCGGTTGGGAGGGTATCATTACTTTTTCAATTCCACGAGAAGAAGAAGAAGAAGCTGTCGTTGAAGCGTGGCACCAGATATCTGCTACTCCGTCGCCAAATGGAATGGAAATTTTTCAGACTCAGCTTTGCACAAAACTAGGGTTTCAAGTGGCCGCACAGTTTCTGTGCCGGACTGTCACCGTTGAGTGTCTTTGGTATTGAAATTCCGTTCGATACGCTGCCACCCCACACTTGGGTTCAAAACACCCAACAGACAGACAGGCAGACAAACGATTGGTTTGGACACCAACTCCAAACCCGTACTCACTTCGTTCACTTCACTGGGGTCTAGTTTTTGTTTTTTCTTCTTTTTTTTTCAATTTTTCTTTGCCTTTTTTTGTTTTCTATTTCGTTATGACTTTTCTTTTTTTGTTTTTTTTTTTTTTGGTTTTTCTTAATTCCAACAAAAACACGTTTCCAATATTTCTCTTGTGGGGTTTCCTCGAGAAATCGCGATTCGATTCGAAATTACAAGAAAAAAATGACTCGAAACACAAAATCTCTAAAAGCCAACACTTGTTCGATTTCTTTTTTATTTTTAAATTTCTCTCTCTCTTCTTTTTTTGGTGGATATGTATTTTTCTTACGAAAAAAAATATTTCGTTTAATTTTTTCTCTTTCTTTTGAAGAATTTATTTTTAATATTTTTATTTTAATTAATTTATTTATTTTTTTAAGCTAAGCTTAAATAGCCGTATTTACGCTATGAACGTCTATGAAAAACTGAAGACAAGAAATTCGTATTTTCAGAGCCAAGTATTGAGACGGCAATGTTTTCAGTTTCTAAAAAATCTTAATGTTGTTATTGCCGTCGTAGTTGTTGTTGCTGTTGTTGTTTTTTGTTTGGCCGTAAGCCCAACAGCAAACACCTCTATGTGAGTGCCGGTGTGTGTGTGTCGTAAAAGGGGGCTTTTGTATGAGTGCAAGTGTATTAGTGTGTGTTTGTGTCGACGTACAATAAAGCTTGGCTCAAACCTACTAAACAGGTAATGCGAGCCAAGCCAAAACACCGAGAGAAAAAAGAGGCTAGTTTTTCAAACCATCTATAAAGATGGGCATTTTAATCTAATCATAATTTTAATTTTTTTTTTTCACCATTGTGGCTGAAATACAAATTACCTTTTATAATTTTTTTACAAACGTGGAAAAACCACCGCTGCTGAAAAATATCCTCCACCGAGGATATATTGTCCACCACTGTGGATATATTGTCCACCACTGTGGATATATTATCCACCACTGTGGATATACTATCCACTTTAGTGGATATATTATCCACCACAGTGGATATATTATCCACCACTGTGGATATATTTTCCACCACAGTGGATATATTATCCACCACAGTGGATATATTATTCACCACAGTGGATATATTATCCACCACTGTGGATATATTATCCACCACTGTGGATATATTTTCCACCACAGTGGAATAATTATCAACCACTGTGGATATATTTTCCACCACAGTGGATATATTATCCACCAGAGTGGAATAATTATGGATATATTATCCACCACTGTGGATATATTATCCACCAGAGTGGATACATTATCCACCACAGTGAATATATTATCCACCACTGTGGATATATTTTCCAAAACAGTGGACATATTTTCCACCACAGTGGATATATTATCCACCACAGTGGATATATTATCCACCAGAGTGGATACATTATCCACCACAGTGGATATTTTATCCACCACTGTGGATATTTTATCCACCAGAGTGGATACATTATCCACCACAGTGGAAATTTTATCCACCACTGTGGATATATTATCCACCACTGTGGATATATTTTCCACCACAGTGGATATATTATCCACCACAGTGGATATATTATCCACCAGAGTGGATACATTATCCACCTCAGTGGATATATTATCCACCACTGTGGATATATTATCCACCACTGTGTATATATATCCACCACAGTGATATATATCCACCACAGTGTATATATTATCCACCACAGTGGATATATTATCCACCACAGAGGATACATTATCCACCACTGTGGATATATTTTCCACCACATTATCCATTATCCACCAGAGTGGATACATTATCCACCTCTGTGGATATATTTTCCACCACAGTGGATATATTTTCCACCACAGTGGATATATTATCCACCACAGTGGATATATTATCCACCACTGTGGATACATTAACCACCACTGTGTATATATATCCACCACAGTGATATATATCCACCACAGTGGATATGTTATCCACCACAGTGGATATGTTATCCATCACAGTGGATATATTATCCACCACAGTGGATGTATTATCCACCACAGTGGATATATTTTCCACCACAGTGGACATATTTTCCACCACAGTGGATATATTATCCACCACAGTGGATATTTTATCCACCACTGTGGATATATTATCCACCACAGTGGATATATTATCCACCACAGTGGATATATTATCCACCACAGTGGATATATTATCCACCACTGTGGATATATTTTCCACCACAGTGGATATATTATCCACCACAGTGGATATATTATCCACCAATGTGGATATATTATCCACCACTGTGGATATATTTTCCACCACAGTGGATATATTATCCACCACAGTGGGTATATTATCCACCACTGTGGATATATTTTCCACCACAGTGGATATATTATCCACCACAGTGGATATATTATCCACCACTGTGGATATATTATCCACCACTGTGGATATATTTTCCACCACAGTGGATATATAATCCACCACAGTGGATATATTTTCCACCACAGTGGATATATTATCCACCACAGTGGATATATTATCCGCCAGAGTGGATATATTTTCCACCACAGTGGATATATTATCCACCACAGTGGATATATTATCCACCAATGTGGATATATTATCCACCACTGTGGATATATTTTCCACCACAGTGGATATATTATCCACCACAGTGGATATATTATCCACCACAGTGGATATATTATCCGCCAGAGTGGATATATTTTCCACCACAGTGGATATATTATCCACCACAGTGGATATATTATCCACCACAGTGGATATATTATCCACCACAGTGGATATATTATCCGCCAGAGTGGATATATTATCCACCACAGTGGATATATTATCCACCGCAGTGGATATATTATCCACCACTGTGGGTATATTATCCACCACTGTGGGTATATTATCCACCACAGTGGATATATATATCCACCACTGTGGATATATTTTCCACCACAGTACATATATTGCCCACCACTGCTGATTAAATATGCAACAGCTGATTAATTATCCACCACAGCGGATATATTATCCACCACAGCGGATATATTATCCTTCATAGTGGATATACTATCCACCACTGTGGATATATTTTCCACCACAGTAGATATATTGTCCACCACTGCTGATAAATTATGCAACAGTGGATATAATATCCACCACAGTGGATATAATATCCACCACAGTGGATATATTATCCTCCACTGTGGATATATTATCCACCACAGTGGATATATTATCCACCACAGTGGATATATTATCCACCACTGTGGATATATTTTCCACCACATTGGATATATTATCCACCACAGTGGATATATTATCCACCACAGTGGATGTATTATCTACCACAGTGGATATATTATCCACCACTGTGGTTATGCTATCCACCACTGTTGTTATACTATCCACCACTGTGGTTATCCACCACTGTGGATATATTATCCATCAGTTTGGATATATTATCTACCTTAGTGGATATATTATCCACGGAATATGATATATTATCCACCATAGTGGATATATAATCCACCACAGTGGATATAAAATCCACCACAGTGGATATGTAATCCACCACAGTGGATATATTATCAACCACAGTGGATACTTTTTATATTATCCACCACAGTGGAAATTTTATCCACCACTGTGGATAAATTATCCACCACAGAGGATCTACCAATAACTGTTAAAAAAATTTATCCACCAACAATGGATAAATTTACCCCTTTAGATGTATTATACAATAACTGGTATAAAATATTCACCACTTTGGAGAAAACGATTTTCAAATTATTCACCAATATGGTTAGATATTCACCACTCGGAATATCTTTGAGTAAATGTTTAGCAAACTTCAATAATTTATCTTCCAATGTGATAATTTGAAATATCTTCTCAGTGTGGAGCCAAGAAACACACACGCACACACACCTATCCATACCTGCAAACAAATCACAACGAATAGTAATAGACGAATGAACAAACGAACGACCACCAACAACACAGCAACAAATCTCCCAGCCGACGAAACGCACAATCAAACAAAAGCTACGGCCCCACCACTCTACGACCTCACAACGTCGTTCGAATGTCGTCTACGAAATGCCGATGATCGGTGATCATCATCGGCTCGGCACAAACTGTTGACAACACTCCGAAATAGCACCAGCAGCAACAACAACACCAGTAGCTTATATCCAATAGCCAACAAACCGATTGAACGGGACCAATAAAGCTTTGGAACAAGTTGAGGTTTAAACCTTTTGGATACACTCAAAGATAAATCTCCATTGAAGTCAACGCAGATTTTAAATGCTGCTGAGAAGAAGAGAATGTGCGAAAGCAGAGGAAAATATTTAAAAAAAAAACCGGCAGCATGGAAGTTATCCTTGAACTCGTTTCACTTAAGCGACAGCAGCAGCAACAACAACAGCCCCAACAACGGAGGTAAAGGAAAGAAGAATGCAAACATGTAGCAAAAACCCACCGAAATAAAAATTATAACAAAATCAAAGGCAGCAACAACAACAAGACTGAAATAAATGCAAAATAATTTTGAAATTGATGCGGGTTTATTGATCAGCGGCCGGATGGGTCTACCCGCAAAAAAAAAACACCAACAAAACAAAAATAATGATGATTTAGTTTCTGGTTCCGTTTGTTTGTTTCAAAAACATATTTTGCACTTAATCTCAATCGCGGGGGGTGGAGGAGGGGTGGTGGGAGATATGACAGACAAAATTAAGCGAGTGGAGGTTAATATCCAGATTAGGTCAATAAAAACACATTAAAAAAGGTAACAGGTTATTTTTTAGATCTCATTGGTGGACGAAGGAGAAGAGGGAGAATATTTAAAAGGAATTTTTCCATGAACTTTTTGTTTTTATTTTTCAATGATTTTGCCTTCAAATATTCCTTTAGAAGATGTGCAAAAGAGATTCTCTCCTCAGCAGTTCTTGAGAATTTTTTTTATAGCCTGTAGAAGACCTCACAGTTGGAGGTTTTATATTGTCTCTGGAAGACCAGGAGACTTTCTACTGGCTCTAGAATACCTGGGTGTTTCCTACTGTTTATAAAAGACTTAGAGGTCCTCCCCTGACTCTAATAGGGCTGGAAGGATTCTACTATCTAAATGACCTGGTGGTTTTCTATAGCCCATAGAAGAGCTGGAGGTCTTCTATTGTCCAAGGAGAGCTGGAGGTCTTCTATTGTCCATAGAAGAGCTGGAGGTCTTCTATTTGCCCATAGAAAAGCTGGAGGTCTTATATTTGCCCATAGAAGAGCTGGTGGTCTTCTATTGCCCATAGAAGAGCTGGAGGTCTTCTATTTG